AACCATGGGGCACATGTGCCCCCCAGATCTGTGTATGGGGAGAGGGCAGGCTGGGGCAGCACTGGGCTCTTTCCAGCAGAAGGTTGTGCTGGGGCTGTGCTTGGGGTGGCTGCCAGTGGCACTTGGGGGGGAGGGAAGGGGGCATTTTGGAAGTACTGTGGAGAATTCTGGGGTGGCTGTAGCCTCCCCGCACCATAGCCCCATTCCCAGTGCCACTACTGCCCATCCAGAGTGCAGCCCTCAGCGGCAGCCCACCCTCATCCCGTGCAGATCTGAGGAGCACACCCCCCACCATGCCTCCACTGGGGGTGTGCACAATGGAAGGAGCCACCCCACTCCCTTTGCCCCCTGGATGAGTCACTTGCAGCTCAGTTCTGAGCCCTGCCCTGCCCCGCTCCTCACCATAGGAGCCTTGATCTGCCCCCCACCCCATGCCCCTTCCCTCCCCTCCACCTCTTCCCTCCAATACATTTACTAGCTGGATGCTGCTCTCCATGCTGTCAGATTGCCATGTGCATGCTGTGGCTGCACGCGTGCACATGGCATTTATCGGCAACATTATCAGCCACAATAGCCAAAAAAGCCGAATGCCGATAACGTCAATTTTCCTTTTATTGGTGCCGATATGATATGGATCGATGTATCAGTGCACCTCCAATACTGACATAATTAAACTGTAGCTCTGAAGATAAAACAGTAACACCAGAAAGACAGCAGGTCTTCTATAATATCAGTAGAAGAATTACTTAATTCCAAAGTAACCTAGCTTTGCTGTGTCCAGTAGGATAACAGAAGCAGGTGAACAGGAGCAAGAGCAGTGATAGGCTTGAAAGTGTTCCTGACAAAGAGAGGTGAGGGGTAGAGACTTATCGCCAATCACAACACCAGTTAGAATGGGCACTGAAAGAGTACCGATATGGGAATACAGGATCTATCCTGTGGACTGAAGGCAACAATACTGGAGCAGTTTCTGCCATTCACTTAAGTCTACAAGCACCTAAAGCACTACTATTTCCCCTGCAAACTAAAGTATCCCTAAGCAGCTGGCACTTCAAGTGGCATGAGGAAACAAAACTAAATCCCTGCAACACCAGTGACCTGATGAAAAATTCCCATCATTCCTCTGTGCCTACCTTGGCTTGGACAGCATAGGAGGCCAGAAGAACAGATGCCTCAGGAGGACAGTAGATCTTCTCATCCAAAATCTGCTTCTTTACCTAAATAAAACAACAAAGGAGACATAATGCTGAGTTAGTGGAGCTGTGCAAGGGGCGACCGTAACAGCAGATGGCTCTAGTTTGTTTCAACTAGAGCTGCCAACAAACCAGTTAACCAATTTTCCTGACACAAGGCACAATTCTGACCAATGCAGACTGGTGTTCTGGAGAGAAAGGAGTCAGGTTCTCATAGGCCAGCTGTTTCAGAGGGATTCAAAACTTTCTCTGCATATGTAAAACACTGTACCCCAACATTAGACGTAAGATTTCTCTACATCTTCAAGAGGAGGAAAAAACCTGTTACAACCAAAGTTAAGAGTTAAAATTCATCTCTCTCACATGTTCTCTCTTGCTTTACACCCTCTCATTGACGCACATACCATAACATTACATGGTTGTACAGAACTATATTCATTACACGCATTACATACAGAACTAATTGTACTGATTCTGCACCCAGTCAGGTTAGATACTAAATACATTCAAATCCCACTGACCACAATGAAAGCTATACATAACCTCAAGAGAAAATGTTTGAATGGCACATACAACACTTGCATACATTTCCAAGAGGGACAAAAGTTACAGGCCCTGAGAACCATTACTTCCCGACTTATATGCATTTAAAAATTAAATTTGCCATATTTGACTTTTTGTTTTAAATGCCTGATTTTCTGAATATAACAAGTGCATTTTATTTCCATGTGAGGTTTAAATTGATTGTCACAAAGGTACGGTAACATCACTTTGCACTTGCAGCATGTTTTGCATCTTCAAAATGCTTTACTATTCCATCACTGAGAATACTTTCCTAAATTAATATAAGCTGGTAAATAAGCTGGACTGATGCATGCCTCTGTCTGAAATAAACAGCTAGAGTACCATCTTCCCAATGTGTTATTAAAAATCCCAGTGGAAAGTCCCACATTGTACTTGCACAATGAAGTTTTCAGCTACTCTAACTTTGTTATTTCTAAACCAGACAGCTTCAAACACATCAAAGGCAATTTCTCTCATCAAGGACTAAACCCATGATAAGCTTGACATTTAAAAATAACCAACATGAGGCATATTTGTACAAAATAGGCATAACAATTAACAATACTTTGTCCTGATGCAATACCTTTACGCTGGATAATAGAGAGTAAATTATGAATATTTAAGTAAGCCTTAGAACAACTCAATGAAGGAGTTTTCAAACCTATTTTACAGGACAAAAAGCTGCAAATAGAGAGTAAAGCTTACATTTGCAAAAGTGTTCCCTGACCTGTCTTGCCTCAATTCTGGGGTAACAGATCAAAATATTTGGCTACCTATTAACTTGAGGCACCAGCAGATCCAACACAAAGGCTCCTGAAGCTCAGAAATCCATAATCAGAACCCAGAAATCCTATTGTAGCTATGTGATAACCTGAAATTTTCCTAGTTACTTTTTTCACATGCACAAGTTTTCTTAAGGGCTGATAATCAGGAATGCTGTAGCATAAGAGGTAGCCATTTCAAAAAGTCAAACTTGCCTGAAAAATAGGACTTTTGATTAAAGTACCTCCATTATCAGAAGCATAGTGCTGTTCCTGCCTTCCCAGAGTAGTATTGTATACTTTCTCTAGAGCACTTTGAATGCACCATGCTGTAGCAGCAACCAGAAGCACCAGCTACCAAAGGAACTTGGGCAGTTAGACAGCACAAGAATATCTACCTTTGCCTTCTCCTGATTGCCAGACAACAGCTAAAGCCTTATTCTACTTAGCAGAAGGGATTTAACTCTGCCAGCAGAAAGGAGGGCTTTGCCACCAGGCAAAAGATTTTGGGAGTGCTCTTGGCACAAGTGGAGTTCTCTTGGCAAAATGCTGCAGTGCAGAGTAGGCCTTAGCAGAGTCAGCAGGGTAGAGAACTCCTGGCTTCTGACCCAGCTGTGCTTTGGGGATCTTCACCTGTTCCAATTATTCGGAAACTATGTGGTGACAAAATTAGTTTAGCAGTATACCCTGAACACAGGAAATGCTGGACACATTCTGCTTTTCTTTAGGAAACCGTTCTTGTCATATGTAACAAAAACAGTATATATACACGCACAGAGTCTGTACCTTCTGATCAAATGATTCACCCTTTATGCAGCTGTGTGGAGTCCAGTCTTTCAGGGCCTGGTTCATGAAGGTGTCCACTTCTCACAGAGGCAGCCCCTTGGAGCTGACCTATTAATACTGCTAGTCACATGTTAACTCCAAGGAAAAGATGCCATGATTTCACAGATTATGTTGAACAGTGCTTCATTTACATAAGTGTTTTTATTTTCACATCATCCTGTCTGTATCGAAATTACTGGGTTTAGAATTGAGCTGCCAGATCTGGGTGCATTCAAACATACTGAAAACTTTCTGGTTCACCAGCATTGTGTTCTTTCCAAGGGCTGACCAATGAGGTACCTACCTGCAGAAAAAACAAGTGTTGTGTGATCTCCTGAACCAGCTCCTCCTCAGCATTCTCAGGGTAAAATTTGGCTAGGAAGTGAAAAGTGACTGGCTCTTCCGTCGGAACATCGTGATCAAGGACCTGTAGAATTATGCACGGTTTGGTTACTTAGTCAAGCCCCCAACCACAATCTCTTGAAGTGAAGACTTAGATGTTGTAAATTTCTACCTCCCCTCACTCCTCTTCTATTCCCCTCCATGGTGTGAACAACTCTAGGAAGACCAGGAGGTACTGCCCCATAAGTCTGTGAGAAGTTTGCTACTTTCAGATATTTAAGGAAAGAAAAAATGGCAGAAAAACATGCATCACTGTAGCAGGGTGGTATTTATTTCCCTGATGCAGAGGGTTAATTTTTCTTCTCTAATTTATTGACCTCCGTGAAAACACTTAAGTTACCCTTCAAAATTTGCAGTTTCCAGCTGCATTGACAGCTAGCAAAATTAGAGGGGCCACTTCCTCCCCCCAAACATTACAACTGCTCCTCACTACCTAATTTCGGTCTGCAGAACACTGGATTGAATCCTTGGTTTAGAAAAAGCAGCACAACCATATCTAGCTTCAATAATGCTCAAGACAAAAATCACAAAAACCAAAGAAGAAATATTCAAGTCTCCCAGGAGAGACTATACACACTTATTTGTTATTGTGGGTTTTCTACTGTTTTTTCCCCTTTTAGAATAAGACATTCATCATCACTTCCTTGAGGAGAACATTTGAGAGCCTAAAGGTTCACTGTTGGGAAATGTTCCTTTCCTTAATTGCTCTGCTTTATATGCTTGCTATTTTCTTAGCTTCCTAGCTTTTTACAAATTCTCTACCACTAGGAAACAGATAGCAGAAAGAAGGTATAAGTAAACCTTCCCTTTTCCACTATCTGCACAGTATGACCAAAAACATTTAGACAAACTGTAGTCTCTAGTGTCTGTCCTTTATATGCCCATGGAAAGCTTTTTAAAAAGATTATTAGATCAAACATATATAACAATCAAGGAGAGCCATGGACCCTGAGATGAAACAGCTCAAGCACCACTTTAATAGGGTAGAAGGGATCTTGCATGCATAGTCCAAGGTTGTTTGTGGTTCAGGGATAGTGTAAAAAGCCTTCCAGTACAGGGAGTGTTGGTGAGAACAGGTATATTGTAGTTAGATTTTTTGACTGCTGTCTCTATATATCAAGCCAAACAGATTTCTGCTCTCATTGCCCTCTCAGACTTCTTACTAATACACCTTCATGCATACACAACATGGAGGAAGTATATCTTTTCTCCCCAGAACACATAACCCTTCAGTGGAAAACTATTTTCCAACCTTCTTGTCCATTTTGAGCCATGCCACAGTATCCTTGATTGTGTACTGTAGTCCAAAGAACCAGGTTTCTCGGAGTCCTAGTGTCCTGCATACTAAATCAAACAAATCCTTCCCTTTCCACTTCACCTGCAATAGAAAAAGCAAACAGCAAATTGTATTTAAAAAAAATCTGAGTTCCCTTCTCCCCTCCCCTTCTCCATTGATCCAAATCAAATTTACTTTCTCCTGAATATGTATTTGCACTGCCCTCTCCCACCTCCCTACCACCCCAACATACACACACTATCACTGGGAATGTGGAAAAGGTGGGAATGTGGAAAAGGTGGGAATGTAACAAGGTAAGAGATCACATTCTACTTTAAATCCTCCAAAATCATGCCACCTGCAGATTGCCAACTCCACTCTTTGGTAGAATGAAATGTGGTTCTCCTCTCAAAAGTGACAGTAAAGTATGACATCTTGGGGTCAGATTTTGACACATCTCAATTCAAAATTAAGGAGATGTTGTCTGGCAATGCACTAAGCCTCATCCTAGGATCTGAAACATGCTCTGGATTCTTTTTGACTCATGCATCACTATGAACAGTCACAATTCAAGCAGGCAAATCCTACTCTGCATTGCCCCTTGACAGCCCCAAGTGTCTTCTAATCTTGTCTCAGTTATTCCCACACCTCACTCAAAGACCTAGAACAGATTTCACAGGTGACACACTGCAGATATGGGTGGTACAGCTGGGACTTTTTAAAAATTCTGATAGGTAGCATCTATCTTATATGCCCAGAGACTGTGGCAACGTAGGGTTAAACAGGAATAACAGCAACAAAATCCATTTTTATTATTAGAGCCAGCTGCTCTGAACCTGAACTCACAAGGGGAGACGGGATAAGTAACAAAAGGCCAATTTTATAAAGAACAGAACTACAATTTACACTGGAAACATTTGTTAACAAAAGTAACCTCTGGAATCAATAAAACTGCTCCAACCCAAAAGCCACGTCCTTCATACAACTCCCCAGCTGCTTCCGTCTTGTTGTCAGAGTCTTATTTTTACAAATTGAAGGTGGTGGGAACAGGAAGGTGAAGAGGGAGATAAAACAGGAAATTCTAATATGCCAAAGCCACTTTGGTCTTCCATCTGCACAAAAAGAAAGACTACTGGATAGGGACATATGGCCATTATTCTAAAGCCCTAAGGCAAAAGGATATCAGCACGTCTTCTTGTCACTGTTCCCCAATCTTGGTACCACCTGGACAGCATCAATATTAATGCCACACATGGCACAGACTGTTCTTCACGGACACCAGCTCTGCTGCTGCTGTCACACACTGCCACCTTGTGGGTAAAGCAATCAAGGAATAGCCCAGGCCCATTACTCAGCTAGTGTTCTGCATCAGACACAATGGCTCTCTTCTTAACACAGGCACAAACTCTACTGAAATGTCCCAAAGAACAGGAGACAAGCACTCAGATGCACACAACTCCTGCGTGACCTGGCAGAGCTACTTTGTGATTCACATAAGATACAATCAAGACCTTGAAGTTGAAAAGACACCAGAAAGAACTGGTTTTCCAGTGCTGCCATCATAAAACTTTACCTTCAAACATTCAAATACCCTCCCTTTTCTTCAAGTGGGATACAACTTGGTACATTAGGACACAGATCCAGGAGGCCAACATTTTTAGCAAGGGGTTATTTCCTAACTAGGACTAAATTGGTTTCTGTAAAGCAACATCAGCTTTTTTTTACGGCAAACTTTAAGCCTATTGTTTTAAAGGACAAATGAGTGTGTGCGCACAAACGTTTATCCATCATCCAAAGAGACAGGGAAGAAAGCATTTCAAATGGA